CATTTAGATAATGGTGGAATGCATTTTGTGGGTCCATATCAATAGAAAGAGGGAGAGCTGTTTTGCAAAGGCAGTTTCAAAGCCATGCAGTATTGCTCTTGTACCCCCAAAATAACTTTTAGCTCCTGTGGGTCAGTTTTAGTGACATTTACAGAAATGACCGTCACAATCAGATTAAAATAAAACTGCTATGACAGTTTTTATTAGCGTGAATCTACATTCTTTGTAGTGAAGTGTAATTCCCTTTGTTGCGAGGAAAGCACTCCTGTAAGTATCCTGTGTATATCTGTGGTCTGCTAGTTTGAAGAGCAGCTGATCTTTTTCAATGATAAAAAAGATTTGAAACAGCCTTTCTGTTACTTTTGATGTGTCTGCTATTAATCTTTAATTCACCACGCAGACGGTCGTCATCAGCAATATGAGTACAAATTATAGAACCTATTAAAAAGTAAACCCGGAACTGGCTCACCTAAAAATGTAACTGTTGTTTCAAAAATACGTTGGAGAATTCACCATAATTTCCCAGTGGATTACATTTTAGTGTTTTTTATTTTTTAATTCAGTTCTTTTATTTATCCCTTGTTATTCAGGCATTTTGTTCAGTGCTATTTTAGGGTGTACACTTTATTTTTGATTCATTTGTTTTTTATGTTGTTGGTGCCAGACTCTGAACTACTGTGGACTGAATCTTTTTAATAAACTGATAAAAACACATGTCTGTTAGTGAGACTGAATTCATTCCTAGTTATCTCTACAAAACAGAATTATGACAGTTTTATACAGTGCCTGAAGTCACTTTTACTTCAGTGAAATATTTACTTAGTTAGTTTGGTCAGCAAACGCTGTAGTTTTAGTCAGTTACCTATTAAAACCTTGAGAAAGACTGTTTAAAAAGCCTAAATCAGAGAACCATGCGGGGCGGATCTAGAGAAATTTTTTTAGGACGGCATGAGGGTGGCAAGGAAATCAAATGGTGTGGCAAAATCAAAGCCTTTTTTTCAGACACATATGCAGGTGGTTACATATTGTTACAATAATTCAAATGCAGTAAGTAAATGCGTATTTCATATAAAAATAGTCTATAACTTAATTATTTTCTGCAGCCCACATAATTAAACGCTTTAGTTACATAAAACATGCGGATTTTGATCTTATGTACTGTATAGCCTGTATAATAAATATATAATATGTAGCCTAAGAAGTGTAAAATCCACAAAGCTATGGGGCGGTTCATTTACAAAGAGTCTCACTTGCGTTTCATACTTTTTGTTAGAAAAAAATCAAATTGTTACATGCGTAAATTTATACACCATGTCAGAAATCTGCACTGTCATGAACAAAAACCAGTTAAACCTAATCTTTCATGATTTGCTGAGTCAACCCTCTGAGGTCCAAAACATAACTGGCCATTTTTGATTTTACATTTGTATTTCACCTTTAAATTGTTTTATTTTATTGTTTCCCTGCCATGCTTGGTATCATTCTTTATAGCTCAACCTCATGTGTCTGAATTTAGTTGTTTTTTCATTGACATACTGTATTAATGCAACTGATCAGAAATCACACAAAAAACATAAAATCCTAGTCTTTTTTCTTTTTACTGTAAAACCCACAGATGTGTTGAGTAAATTATTTCGATAACTTGAAATGCAAATATAAATTGTACATTTTGAAAACGTGCACACATTTTGTAAACATATACAACTGAGGTCGGTGCTTTTATTTCGAAGGGCTACACCGCTGACGCGGGTATTTAGTTCCGGTTAGGGCGTACTTTTCTCATCCATACATCTTCTGGATGTGCTGGAGCCTATCACAGCTAAGAGGCTGGACCGCAGCCTGTCGCAACGTTATTTATTCGAGTCTTCATTTTTGAACTTTCACAAACAGCGATTCTTTCTACCGGGCTTCTTCACGTTTCTTCACTGAGCTACGCGACATTTGATCTGTAAACATTAAACGCTCTTAAAACGGACATTGACGCTTTCATTCTGAAAGGTTTAGCGGAAGTGTTTGTGTTACCGTAACTGCGGTACCGCGAACTGGACGAGCAAGTTTTGAGGACGAGTGAAAGTCCAGCGGAAGCTCGTAGATACGGAGAGAATGGACGGCGCTTCAATTGATAGTTTAATCCTGAAGCTCCACGACGTGAACGGAGTGAAGTTCGGGGAATACAAGCTGAGGAGCGGCCTGATGACACCCATTTATAACGACCTGAGGGTGCTCGTGTCCCACCCCGCGCTCATGAACCAGGTAACACGTGCTATCTTCGTGACTGCAGAACAGAACAGCTTAAAGCGATACCGGACACATGAAACGTCTGCTGGATGCAGTATCTGTGTAGGCACTCGTCAGTTCCTGTGTAATATTCATACTCACGTGGTTTATTTCACAGTAATGTAGCAGACACAATGACTGAGTTTCAGGGACCAACTCCTTTCACGGAAAATAGCAGTTAAAACAGATAAAACTGGACCTCTCACCAGCTAACCACTCACTCCAGCCTCAATAATCGTTACAGGAATCTGCAGCTTTCTGAAGCTCTTCAGGTCACTCAGGACAAGATAAGGATGAGCGTTTCAAACCATTCAGCTTTAAACAGCTGTATCAGCTTTTTAATTAACATTTTATTAGAAGTTCATCATCTGCAACACATCACTCTAAACTCTGATCTTTTTTTCTGACAACAGACCCAAACTACTGTTTTTTACTTCCAGGTGGCAAATCTCATCTACCAGCGAGTGCAGGAAGAGGGTCTGCAGTTCGACTCTGTGTGTGGGGTTCCTTACACAGCCTTGCCTTTGGCCACAATCATCTGCTCACAACATGAACTGCCCATGCTCATCAGGCGGAAGGAGGCCAAGGACTATGGTGAGCCGCTCTCAGCTGATCAGGTTTTCAAAAGAATAAAAAATGCTGCCACTACAGGCTCTGATTAAACTTGCTGTCCAGATGTTTGAAAAAGCTGAAGCCTCGGGCAGTACACAGGTGTCCAGTGTAGGCAGACATTAAACTGTTTGAAATCCCAGTTCAATGGTGCAGAACCTGCGTAAACCAAACCTTAAAAACAAAATGCAAAGCAGGAAAGTGCGTGCTTCATCTAGCATGCTATATTGTTGGTTAATAGTTCATAGTTTGAGAATTACTGTAAGTTTGTCCTTCAGTATTTGCCTTCTGTAACTCTGCTTCAGGAACCAAACGGCTGGTGGAGGGGTCGTTCCGTCAGGGGGACACATGCCTGATCATTGAGGACACGGTGACCAGCGGCACCAGCATCCTGGAGACTGCTGAAGTGCTCTACAAAGAGGGACTGAAGGTCCAGAGTCTAACGTTACAGTAAAGATAATAATATCATAGTTACGCTGTACTGATGTCATCAAGAGCAGCAGTACACAAGAATGACCTCTGACATGTTTTTATTCAAGGTGACGGATGCAATTATACTAATGGACAGAGAGCAAGGTGGCGTGGAGATGTTGGCATCAAAGGGAATCAAGCTCCATCCCGTCATCTCCATATCTCAGCTGCTCCGTGTGCTGCAGGCAGCCGAACGCATCGACGCCCAAACCGCCCAGAGTGTCCTCGAGTTCATCCGGGACAACAACACTTTCAGGTACAACTCTCCAGAATTTTCCCCCCAGTGTAGCTGGTGTGTTTGCTTGCATTACGCTACAATCTAGAAACAAAAAATCGGTGAAACTGTCACCTTGACTCACTCTCAGGCCCAAGAATGGCACAGACTCTCCAGCCAGCAAGAAGCTGTGTGTGGAACAGAAGCTGGAGCTCAGTTATTCAGAAAGAGCCAAGTTACCAAGTATGTAGAACTTAAATTATTTAGTTATTTCATGTCAAAGCAGAGACTGGTGGTGTTTTCATTGAGCTCCACACACATGCTGTGGACTGCTCTTGCTCTTTTCTTTTCTCATTTTCTGTTCTTTCTGTTGTCTGCAGACATTCATCCGCTAGCATCAAAGCTGCTGAAGATTATGGAGGACAAACAGTCCAATCTTTGTGTGTCTGCTGATGTAACCAGCAGCGAGGAGCTGCTCCAGCTGGCCGAGTCGCTCGGTCCAAAGATCTGCATGCTGAAGACCCATGTAGACATCCTCCAGGTACAGCAGGATCAACTAAAACCTCAAATCTGTACATGCAACAAACAAACTGATGTTTAGTTTTTTTTCCATATGTGTTAACAGGACTACACATTAGCCTTTATTCAGAAAATGCAGGCCTTGGCAGAAAAGCACAACTTTCTTATCTTTGAAGATCGCAAGTTCGCTGACATCGGGAACACAGTCAAGCATCAGTATGAGGGTGAGACG